ATTGAGTTGCATCTTGGCGTTTTGGATCAGTCATCATATCCTCTACTTGAAGATGATGATTGAAGTTTTCAGGGTGTGGACTGACTAGCTCTGAGCAAATAATCTTTGGATAATTTAACGCGTCGGCCACCTGTAAATGACTTTCTCGAAAGAGCATCCCTGATTTGGTGTCGTCATATTGAGCATCAGTGCCATGACGCAATACAGTCTCATTTATGCAAGGGAAAGAGAAGAATGCAACATCTACAGCCTTAATCTTATCACGGGGCATGGTGATAAGGGATTCGACAGTGGGTATGAGTTGCGTGTTGTTCAATCGCTTCATAAGAGCATTGGACAGTTTCTTCTTTCTCTCACAAATAACTGACCACTCAAACTTATCTTGCAGCCAAGAAGGTAAGACTGCAGATGATTCCTGATGCAGGCCACAGGCTATAGCTGCATGTCGAATGATGGGTGATCGCGACTTAATTAGGCCTTTATCGGTGAATGAAAAGACACTGTGTCCTTGGAGTTGTGGTGACTTAGACATCACAACTTCAAGGGCGCAGCTGACTCTGTTATCCGAGGCGCAGAGTTTTAGCCTGCGGATAATCTTTCCAACATCGATGATGCTGCCATCTATGAAGTCTCGGAGGAATTTGTACTTCATAGGATCGACAACCGGAAGGTGGATTGAACCTTTGTGAGCGTTACGACTCAACTTGGCTACTCTGAAGTCTTTCATCTCATGGACGTTTGGATTCAGAGGTGTGCCACTAGGAACAATCGTCATGTAAGGTGGGAATTTCGTGTCGTCAGTACATTGTCTAACTCCATGAATTGACCTAGCATGAGGTGAGTCCACTATGCATGAGAGTGTTGGAAGAACAATTCTCCATACACCTAAAGCATAGGCTGTATCAGCACGTTGAGCAGAAGGTAAAAAGAAAATAGATACTCCCCCAGCTTTTGAAGCTGTCGGGTCACGTGCTGTAGCGCCCTGTATCATCATCACGGCATTGCTGACAGTTTCCTGCAGAATACCCACGCCGTCAGGCTGGCACGATATCGTGGCGCCAGTGTCTGAAAGCGGCTGTACATCTCGATAGTATTCTTCGCGGGTCCACTCCCTCTCTTGAAGAAAACGATGTTGATCCACAGATAAACCGAGATGATGATGATCAGGAACAGTGTTGAATTGCACTGCCGAGTGAACGTGCGTCCCTTCAGCATCGGCAACAGTGTGGACATGGTCACTGCTTCTTTGTGGATCGGCAAGCCCTGACTTATTACCGACCCTCTCTAAAAATCCAAATAGTCTGTGTCTTCCAGACCTATGAACGGACAGCCCCCCGACTCAAAATCGTCGGTAGACATGACCAATTGACTCGTGGTTGTCGTTTGTGATGGCGCTGCCTCCGCCACCGTCTCGATTTCCTGTTCTCCAAGCGCCCTAACGCCCTGCTTAGGGGGTTGAGCGGCTGGAGGCGGCTTCTGAGAGCGTTCAGAGCGCTCATGTCGCACATTTTTAAAAGTGCTCGCCTGTTGAGCTTGAAGTGACTCGAGGAACTCCTTGTTGTCCTCTGTCCTAGCAAACTTATTTTGAGAGAAACCTTTATAAACCAGAGAGCATAACTTTCCTGTGCTGTCTAGCAGGGTATCTTCCATCATCGGAGCCTGCCCTACTTCAAACCTTCGGTTCCTGCTCCCGTATGGATTCTGTGTGCTGCGTAGCGCGCCCTAAGTTACGTCAACAGTGTAAAAACCGAGTTGCAGGCATGACCTGGCCGAGTTCTCACAGGAGGACGAGGTCTGAGGTACGTCGATTGATCCTTTCGGGGACTTCGTGTGGGTGGGCCTTGAGGCTCACTCAACTTACCCTTTATGCCAAATTATTATCTTGATTGACTAGAAGGCTACTTTGTACAGGTAATCTTCGAGTAGCCAAGAAAGTAGCGCCCAAAGGAGAGAGAGAGAATGAGCTGTTATTTATTATTGCAGCTCAGTCGATACTCGCTCCTTATGCTCTTATCCGGCGCTGCTGAAGCAGCCCGCCGGCGAAATTCTTTCTCCCCGTGGCCAGCCGAACCTATTTTAGAGAGAGGGAGTTTAGCTAGTAAACTAGGGGAGTGGGGTGGGCCTTGAGGCTCACTCAACTTACCCTTTATGCCAAATTATTATCTTGATTGACTAGAAAGCTACTTTCGGACAAAAGCACCGTGAAAAATAGTATAATAATATCATTGGTCGCTATCCGTCACGCTGATTCTCCAACGCATGCTCCTTCAACCGATATTCATAACTGCATGTCGTCATCGGAACTCTACGGAACACCTGGCCCCAAACATGGGTCTCTTCCAAACAACGAACCTAGGCGCGCGCAGGCAAGCTTGTTGTAATTGGATGAATTAGTCCGTCAACTCAGGCGCGCGCAGGCAAGCTTGTTGTAATTAGATGAATTAGTCCGTCCGTAAACGAAAGGAGGACGGGCTCGAATGAGGATTAATGATGCGATGTGATCCTACTGCAATTGCCCGACCAGAAAATATAGACTCATCCAAAAATTCGTGTACAGTGCCAACGCTAGCTTCAGGGGACGTCCACGTGACTATAGATGTGATCGACATCAATAGCGCAAATTGCCATGCTACGAGTGTAGACCTCAAATCAAGTTTTCGAGACCTGCGCAGAGATCTTCAGACAGGCGTTGCTCCCCTCCACTTCAAGGACCTGACCTGTTTTTTATCAAGGTTACGCAAATGTATTCTAAAGTCCTGTAGCGCCCAGTTCGATTGCGGAACAGTGACTGCAATCATGGGCCCAAGCGGAGCTGGGAAATCCACCCTCCTGGACTATCTTGGCCAAAGGATTCATATATTACGTTCGCATTCAATAAAGCTATCCGGCAGCATCTACTTGGGCTGCACTCCAATGACCCCTAGCTTGTTCCGCGCGCGATGCGCATATGTTCCCCAACATGATGCGCTTTGGAGTACCTTGACAGTCCGAGAACATTTTCTATTTTGCATTGCATTTCTTGATGGATGCTACAAGCAGGAACGTCCTGTGGTTTCCAAAGTTATTCAAGTACTGGGCCTAGCTAGCTGTGCGGACACCATGGTCGGGGGGCCATTGGTAAAGGGGTGCAGTGGAGGGCAGCAGCGGCGTACAAGCATCGGGATCGAAATCTTGTCGAGACCAGAGGTCCTGTTGCTGGATGAACCTACGACAGGCTTGGACGCGGTTGCAGCTCTAAATATTGTTAGACTGTTGCGATACTTGGCCAATTCAGAACGAATAACTGTTGTGAACACGATTCACCAGCCAAGTTCGTATATCTGGGAGGAGTTTGACAATGTCCTGCTTTTGTCGACTGGTCAAGTTGCATATGCCGGTAGTCCGCACGATGCCCTAGCACACATGCTCAAGCTGGGTCATGCCCCCGAGCACAATAGTATCAATCCTGCTGACTATTTATTAGCTTTGGTCTGCATAGACTTCGATGACCCCGCTCACCCCGAGGAAACCGCAAAGACGCGACTTGATTTGATCATCGCCGCTTGGGCCGATGAAACGCAACCCCCACTCGAGTCTCCTAGGAACTACGTAGGAGTCAGTGGTGCCGCAACTAGCCTCCGTGTGTACAGGGCAACGTTTCTCATCACGCGGCGCATGATCATTGCCATAGTGAAGGATCCAGTCCAACTGAGAGCACGACTTCTGATGACTTTGGCGTTTGCTCTCTTTTTTGGGACAATGAATTTCAACATAAGACATTCACAAAAAAATGTGCTTAATTGGCTTGTAATCGCCATATTTGAAGGAGGATACCTTCCCATGTTGAGCATTCTATTGATCCCGTCTTTTTTTGTAGATGCACACGTCGTTGGGAAGGAAATTAGCAATGGATTATACGGTGTTACTCCATACTGGCTTGCCAATTGCCTTCTCCAATGCACATGTTCGTCGCTTTTCTCTTTTTCGTTCCTCACGCCCGTATTTTTGCTAACTCATCAATCCAGCTTCATTGGATTTTGTATTGCCGCTTGTGCTGTCATCTTCTCAGTGATTCTCTACGATGGAGTTGCATGCTTCTTTGGTTTATGCTGCACCAATTATGTTTTTGGTATGGGGTTGTGCAGCACAGTAATTGTAACGCAGTGGTTATTTAACGGTTTTTTCGTATCTTTGCCCAATATGCCATCTTGGATGAGATGGCTACATTGGTGCTCGCCAATGAAATATGTACACGAGATTCTTCTCATAGCTACATTCAAATTTTATGGCTTCGGGACATGTCGCATGTGGGAACCATGCTTCAACACGCAGTCGTCGAATCCATTCGAAGATCCAGCAAGCGGCATTGAGATTCTCAGATCACTCGGCACTCGAGTAGGAGGCTATCCTGATTACAAGGTTGATGACACTGACGTATCGCAACATCTCGCCATCCTCCTCTTATTCATCTTACTATTTCGCTTAGCCTTTTTAGCCACCTGCAGGCAATTGCTGCTGGCATAGGCGTCTATGCTTGGCGGCTTCACATTGCGCGGTCGCTCCAAGCCCACGTTTGCAGTGTCTATTACAGCGGGAAAGGGAAGATGACAACACGCACGAGACTCAAGCCAGTGACTTTTCGCCAGACTCGCAGGACCAAGGGGACACCGACTGAAAATGTGCTTTCGTGCTTTTTGTGTAGACACCGATCGAATTCGAAGAAAATTTTGCGAGATCGAGAGAAGCCACATTAAAATCCCGTCGCCTCAGACCGGCGCTGAACAGCTCGCGACACCGCTAGCACAGCTGCATTAAAATCAGGGAAAATCACTTGCTGCAGATGATTCTCCCGCACTAACTGGTGCACCGCCCGACCGATGTACCTCCATCTGCAGCGCCGCTGCGAAGGTGGGTCGTCCGTGAAGCCCGGGGCTACCGCGAGAACCGCCAGCGCGGGCCAAGCCTGCGCCTGAGCTCACAGGGGCGACAACTTGACTAGACTCGCGCCTGCAACTTCATACGGTATATAGTCCCCGTATTCCCTTTTTGGACACCACCCCGAGGGGCGTTGTCTTAGAAAAATAGGGTCCGTCGTTGATATTCTTACGACGGGTTTTTTGGCGGGATGGTCTCTCTCCGCCGTATTCTCTGTATTCTTTTTGCCAGCTCCTTTGCCTTTGTCGCGCTCTTGCGTCGGCATTGGCTCTTCCCGGCGCGGGGGCTTTATCGGCGTGCTGGGCTCTTTATCCATAACCATCTTGATCTGTATCCGATACCATTTCGACAGACTCAGTTCGGAAGTGTGTAAAGTTGCTTATCGTTTACGTGATGCTTCATTTCGTAAAAAAGTTCTTGAAGAAGCGATAGATGTGTTTGTTGGTGGTTCAAATGTTTGTTCCGTGGCTGTGTTTGTTGGTGGTTCAACTTCCATTTTATCGAAAGGGATAGGATTAAATCCACGTCTTTTAGAGGAAGGTTCAACCTAATGGTGCTCCGCACCGCACGGATTTTCACATTTTCAAGGGTAGTGTGTTATGGGACACCAACTGCGGGCATGAGGAGAACAAATCTATGCATGATCCGACACTAACGATGGTTGAACGATATCTGACGCTGCGTTTGGCATGTTCCGGGCCACAGGAGGAGAAAGTGAGAGCACTTCGCCGTGGGAAGTTGGGGTCGGAGGTCCCAAAAAGTTACTCCATGTCGTGCGAGACGAAGCAGGGGCCGAAGACGCCCGTGCGGGCGCTCGCGCGGCGCTGAGGGGACGGGGATGAAGGATCTCAGTTTATGCGTATTTCCCCAGGGCATGGACTGAAGTTTCGGGACGTCCGACCCCGAGTTCCTACTGCGAAGTACTCTCATAATCTCCCCTCGAGACTCGCAACATACCAAACTCAGAGTCAGAGATCGTTCGAACATCGCACTGCAAGCGCTTTGTGGTCCACAACCTCGCCTAGGATTCCTAGGATATGTGTCGTATCATGCATAGGTTTATTCAGCGAATGGGGCAAATTCCCCCATCCGGGGAGGGTCCGCAGTGCTCCCTTGGAAAATGGCTAACAAAGAGCAGTGTCTATCCCGCAGATGCCCGATGCAAAACGTCTTATCCTGCTTGGCCCACTCGGCGAACAATCCGTTTACGATCGAGCCCAATAACGAGTCCTCTCTCGACAGTGATTTCGACGCTGAATAAGCGCATGGCATTATCTGGCTGACAACCACGCCCGGCGAGACCAGATGCTGCCTCCGCATGTTGCTGGGTGTCGGCTCGCATGGACGGGAAAAGGGGGCCATGCCCCATCTGCGGGACCTTCCCCGGAAAATCACCCCGAGACCGCGCTACCCGCAACAAATTCTCTGCGCCTTGCACGCCAGTACCCATGTCCAAAAGCACGCGCGCCGTCCGAGCGCCCGGATCACTGGTGCTCTCGAGCACGTGCTTAGAGTACGCTTAGCCGGTGCCCGTTGTCACCGCCTCCCAAACCTGAGGGCCAAGGTTTGCTACCTTAGTCGACGCATCCGTGATCTTAACCAAACTGTCGCCGCTCTGCTGAGACGTCCTGATGGCCTCAGCCAGCTTGGAGGTGACGTGACCAAGAAAAGCCTCCTGAGGCGTCTGCGGGCCGCTTGCAAACATTTCGATCATCATGCCCTCTGTCATCCCGATGTCTGAGATATTCCGTTCCACTGCACAAGCTTTGACGGTAGTATCATAGGCGTCGCCGGCAACTGACTTAACTCCACTTGCCAGCATTCTGATGTACTGCTGCTGCTCCGCCTCTCCGGCACCACCGAAGAAACGCGCAAGCATGGGAAACTGCGCAATAAGAAAACGCCCTTTCAAACTGTTGTGCTCCTCAAGTGTCCGGACCTCGCTCCGAGGCAACTCTGTAAAACACAGTTGCTGCGACTGCCCGCCAGTCCATGACACGCTGATCATCCCATTGCGGTGGCCCATGACATTGACCTCGCACCACTTACTATTGATATTCGCATACACCGTCTTCGCCAGCTCCAACCCAGGCGACGCCGGCGGATCGACGACCTGCGCTCGATACCGCGCTGGCGAATCTGGGGCCGGGCCCGGAGCCGGGGCCGCTGCTCGCTGCTGGTGTTGCCCCCCCCCCGGGAACAAACTCTGTTGCCTCTGCTGATAAATGTGCCCCGCCTCCCGGTTGCCTCTGCTGCGCAAAAGGCTGTGGCGGCGGGCCGGCTGCCGCCACTAGCGCTGGCGGCTCACGGGCCTGCTAATCTTCATGTAGGTTCCCGGCACGTAGAAGAAGTCGCCCGACTGGCCCTCCTTGACGATGACGTCGCCCGGGCCGTACGTGTGGATCTCGAAGACGGAGGTGAAGAGCGCGATGGCCGCGGGCCGCATGGTGTCGAATAAAGTGAGGCTCATGGCGAGGAGCTGGGCCGTGATTCTCTGCTTGATGTACTCGTCGATCTGCTTCGTCACGGTGGCATCGTCTCGATGACCTCGCGCATCTTGTCCGCGTCGAAGTAGATGAAGAGGCATTCGCTCTCCGTCGTCACGGACGCTGTCGACCCTAATGGCAAAAAACCGTGGTCCTTGTCGTCGTTGTTCAACAGGCTCGACTCGCCGAAGAAGTCGCCCGACTGGAGGTGGCCGACGGTGATCTCGTTGCCGCGCGAGTCGTGGCAGTGGACCCGCAGCGCGCCCAACAGCACGACGTGGAGCTTCGTGAGCTTGGCGTCCTGGGCGACGACCAATTTGTCCGCGAACCTCGACTTGAAGTGGGCGATGTTCGCGAATTTGTTCATGCACTCGTCGTCGAGGCCGGATAAGACTTTAACTTTTCGCAGCCAGTCGACGACGGACGCGCACGTGAGCGCTTCGAAATTATCACAAAACAGCTTCGCTGCCTTGTCGCCCGTGTTCGTCAGCAGGTTCTTCAGGTAGACCTCCTGCGAGAGCACGAGAAGCGCCGCCTTGCCGACCGCGCAGACGTCCGTCGGGAACTCGCCCGTGGACTCGTCGCGCTCGGACTCGACGTCGCGTACGAGCTCCATCATGCCTATCATCTCGCCCTGGGCGACCATATTGATCAAAGGCCGGTCCTTTTTGTTCTTCTCGCCGTGGCACGAGACCATGCGGAGCTCGCCCTTTTCCACGATGAGCATGTCGCGGCGGCCGACCTTCGATTCGAAGATGGACTTGCCGTCGGGGACGACGACGCGCACGAACGACGCGGCGACCTGCTCCTTGGCTTTGATCGCCTCCTCCTCGGGGAGGCCGTCGTAGCACGCGAAGATGGGCGTGTGGTCGCACGCCTCCAAGGCGCCGCCGCCGCCCTCGGCGGCCTTGCCCTGGCCGCCGCCCATGGCAAGGGCGTTTTCGGTCTGCTCGGGATGATTTGCGGTGCGCCGCGCGGCGCTGCGTTGCGCGCGTTTGGCGGCCGCCGCGGGCGCAACGACCGCGACCGGCGACAGCGCGGCACCCCCGCGGACCGCGGGATCGACGAGGCGGTAGAGCGGGCCTCGAAAATTACCCAGGTGTACCTATTTTAGAATGGACTTAACAAGCTTATTTGTCCTGGTCAGATGTATCGTGCCTAACCTCTTGTTGTTTCCATCTTGGTAATGGCGCTTTTGGCTTAACATGAATCTCGATTCTCGTAATGCTGACACTAACTCTGACTCCGTCCCAATCGAATATGGATGGTGTGAATGCGGCCTCCTTCACTGTGGAAGACCATACCATGGAGATTTCGATCATTTTGTGGGGCCTGCTGCGAGCAAGTGTGAGCAGAAAGCCTTCTACAAGTCTCGTGGATACAACCCCGCAGCGCGTGAAAATGCCCCGAGATGTAAACGCTGTGTAAGAGGCGATAAAGCGCATTACTTGCTTAATGCATTCGACGTCGTAGTATTCGATGCGGTCCCAACATGGGTTCCATGTGTGATCTCATCAGTATCGATTAGCGGGCTTTTTCAGAGAGACAAGCTCATATTAATGCTAGTTTTAAAGCTGCAGTTTATTAATGGACATAGTGCGGGCGTCAAAATGACTCTTTGGGAACCAGGGATCACAACCGTTGGCGCGGTCTTGGAAAATGAGCTTGGTGGTATTCGGCCCGTCATTGCCAAACGTGTATGATCACTTAAGGAGATCAAGGGGTGTGCGAGTGGGAAATCATCATAGATGAAGAGAACGTCATTGAGAAAAAATGCAGAAGGCGAGAGTAAGCCAATGCATTGCGTATATTTTCACATGAAGGTAGTACCCTGCTTCCAGGCATCGGCTATGTCGAGCTAGCCTGAACCACCTCCGAACCGAGATAAGCACTCCTTGCCGTGTAGTTCTTACGACCGTGCTTTCTCCGGTAATGACCAACTCTTCTTATCCCCTTTCTTATAAATCCATTTTCGCTTACACTCAAATTGAATACATTGGACCTCACCTCAAAGTAGCCACTGGCCTCGCGCCGCTTCTCCTCCTCGTCGACTATCTTCCGAGCTATAATCTCCCGCCGCCGCATCCACATGCACCAGGCCTCGCTGGCGCGTCCTTTGGTGCGCCTCCGTGCGCAGCGCCGCCTGGATGACGGGCCGGTCCCTGCGGTCAAACTCCTGCCTAGTGATCACGCATATTGCGTCCATCATAGACTGGCCCACGGAAGGACCGTAAGATCTTCCAAACTGCATGACCTCCGACATGAAGACCTCCAGCTTCCCCTCAGGAGTGACCATGGCGAACTGGGATGGATTTCTCCTCTCCCGGACCCAACGTCGCCGTCGCTGTCATCGCGGCTCCAGCTTTGACTTATGTCCGAGAGGGGAGACTGAATAGCAAGTATCCTGTTTACATAGACTACTGCCAATGCGGCTTTGATTATCGCAAATCCACGTGAATGATCCTGCAAGGCTTCAGGACACGCCAAGGCAATTAGTTTGATACATTTGTAAAATGGGATGTAAAGTCAGCATACGCGCAATTGGAGTTCCTAATGTTGTGGTTTGGAAATTCCGTCCAAGAAAGGCTGTCCGCACCTGCTGTCCGCACCTGCTCTCCGTTCTACCACACTGGCATCATTGCACCACAGGACGCCAGGGGCACTTCCCCCAACGGTCTCTCCAGCCCCGTCAACGGCCTCCCAACGGATAGTCCCCAGGGGCAAGTCCGGATGCTTGTTGATGATGTGGTGCAACCATTGTGGAATTTTGTGTCGCCTACGGAGGATGGACAAGTGTAGCCATAGAGGAAAGGCACATAAATCGTAGGATTTAGGAGGGTAGGTTAATGTTTCCCTTACATAAGAATGTATCTAATTGCGCTGCAACCACCTTGCGTTCAATTTGGCTAAGAGCTGACACTTCTTGATTGTATTTTGAATAATGTCAACTGTTCCATATCCTGATTGGTCAAAAGAGTGGATGGTAGTGGTCTTTTCGTCCGTCGCAATTAATTCGTGAAAGGTACTGATTTGCTGCCGCAGACCTAGAGTTCCGGGGCGGATTGAGGACTTTTTCTTTAAATGAAAATCGAAAACGTGATCAAGAGATGGATGGGGTCCTTCAAGAGTGCAATAGTCGTAGCACACAACATCAATACTTCCTTTGCGACTGAAGAGTAAAACATTGAATCCAGCAAATTGATCTTTGAACAGGTCCATCACCTTCTGGTTTTCTAAGAATCTTTCGCGATCATTTGCGTCAAAATCAATGCGCAGATGTGAGATGTTGCCATCCTTGTCTAAAACTGGACCGTCCATTGTGAAACTTTGTCCAAGACGCATGCGGATGAAGATCGTCTCTGGCGAATAGTTGCGGTCATTCTTCTCCATATTGGTTGGAATTTCTTGTATATCATTTTGAATAACAAGACGGCCATCATTTTTTCAGACAAAAACTCAGGAGAATATTGTAAACTTGGTTTGGTGTCTATGCTGAAGTTCTGGAATGTACCTAATCGCGCTGCGCGACGAGCACGTTTTTTTCCAAAATAGTAGAAATTGCGCGTGCGTGGCGTAGCCACATTAGGTTCTTCCAGTACCCTATTCGGGTCTGGTCTTCTAACGGATAGAGAAAATGCTGACATTGAACCCAAAAATCTTGGGCTGTTCGTGTTGAATTTAACTGTGGATAACACACTGTACTCGCCTACGGATCAGAACGGGCCGATGGAGTTTATAAGTCTGGTGTTTCACTGGTTGGATATGGGAGTCTCGGCCGACTTTGTCAATGACATGGCCTGTAAAGTCCACGCAGAGTTTCAGAAAGGTTTTATCCTTACAGTTTGTCCGTCATTGGTACGAGCCTTGCCGACCAACTTGACGCCCTTCATGCTAATAGTCTTGGAAGGCATATTAGAGTGTTTGGTGTTGTGTTTTGGTGTTGTTTTGGTTTGGTTTGATATTGTAATAATATTGCTATCAAAGAGTAGACAGCATCATTTTTATTAAGTTTTAGTAAGTTTTAGTGGCGCTTTTGGTGAGCTGCAATAATAAATAACAGCTCATTCTCTCTCTCTCCTCTGGGCGCTACTTTCCTGGCTAATCGAAGATTACCTGTACAAAGTAGCTTTCTAGTCAATCAAGATAATAATTTGGCATAAAGGGTAAGTTGAGTGAGCCTCAAGGCCCACCCACACGAAGTCCCCGAAAGGATCAATCGACGTACCTCTGACCTCGTCCTCCTGTGAGAACTTGGTCAGTCCATGGCGCATCACCCGGGTCCAGTGGATAAGCATCTAGACACGCGGGTGACAGCCGGTCTGGAGAAGGGAAGCTCGACTGGCCATAGTAACCAGCCCCGCCCTCGAGTGCCAACAATGTGGCCACCTCCAGTTCTTTCTAGGTGTCTCCTGACCAACACTGTGGTAGGTTCCAAGAAAGAAGTAGCTGCAATCGCGACTGGCGCCACACTGGGCGCCGTCCGGGTGCAGACAAAGAAAAGAGGATAACGGATCACTGAGAGTCACCGTGCAATCTTCCAACACTGTGGAAGCCCGGTACCCTAACCGCTCCCGCGCCAGCTTCCGCTAATGGGAAGCGCGGCGAATCTCGAGGCCAACGCTGTGGCCCTCGAGAGAAAGAAAACAAATGCGAGATGGCTAAACGGGTCCCCGGCACTCATGGCCCGACACCGCTCACCCCGCTTGAAGTCCACGAAG